GTGGAGTTTATATGCATTTGCCCTCAAGTTTCTGGTCTAAGGACATTAACCGACAAATAAACTTCCTCCTTTCATTTTTGGAAGACAACAGGATGATAGACATTGGACGTTTGAATCATTTGTGTAAGACATAGCATATTCGGATCTATTGATATTATGCAGCTTGACGTAGCTTGACACATTTAATCACCTAATTTCAGAAATTTGAACACGAAAGTTTCACAAGTTGTCTACATAAGAGCCAAACAATATGAAGCCGGTAATCAAGGATGAATAATTTGTCCAAGAAATAAGGTAGATGAAACGGATGAGACCCGAAGCGTCCATATTTGGTAGCGGATGCAAGCCGTGAGAACAGGGTTCGTTAACAAAACGTCTACTGAGCACGCTGTGGACCAATACCTTTTGGTTATAGTGCATCCCTTTCAGGTAGTCAGTTGTCACTTCATTTCCTCATTGTATTGAGTTTGTAGTAGTCAGATAACTGAAGCCAAGTCTGCGCGTCCATAAAAAAACAGTGTTACTGTTGGCTCTACTGTAGTAATGTGACGAATAAAGCAGAGCCAGAAAACCTCAGAATACAGCCAGGATCAACACTTGGAATTAGGGCTAAGCAGAATAGGAGCAATAACTTCTTGGAAGAAGCATGGAGAACAACCTGGGGAATGAAACAAATTAGGGAAGATACGCGGGGGCTCCAAACCATATGAAGATGCTCAGTAATTACGGGGTGCAATGCCTGGTTAAGACTAAGTACCTCGCATTAGGTTACGAACGAGGACTATCAGCCTGCATGAATCGACGGTAGGCAGAGAAAGGTCTGTCTCACTTCCCTGTGAGAAATACCGGTTCTTCAGGGGAACGGGCGCGGTGGATAGACATTGCGGGTTGCGTCGCGATCCCACAGCTGGAGTATCAATAAAAGATAACTTGTAGAAAATGGAATATATGTGAACAGACGTCACTCCAGTGGCTTGGAGTTTTCATACAGTAAGACAATTGTGAAAAATCCTAATGTTCTCATAAGGAGAGCACTCACAAGGTTGCTGACAACTCTTCGACAGCCTGTGCAAAACAAATTCGCCGAGTCCTGATACTTTGTTTCACAGCCCGCATTGCATCAATTCTCAATAAGGAGAGACTCACAAGGTTGCTGACAACTCTTCGACAGCCTGTGCAAAACAAATTCGCCGAGTCCTGATACTTTGTTTCACAGCCCGCATTGCATCAATTCCTTTCCAAACACCGACACAACACCGAGCATCTTGAAACTCTTGGCTACCTCATCCATGTGGTGTTTATTTTCTCAGTCTAATGTCCGAGTTCAAATCAGCTGATTGCTACATAAACAGTTTTCGATAGTGGTAATGCGGAATGACGTACAAGGAGGAGATGATATCCCGCGAAGAATCTGTTCTTTGACATGAGAGCTGCACCGCTGACTTTAAATAGAGATTTCGCATGATACGGCTAACTGCCGGTACTGAATGTGACGACGGAGTCTGTGAAAAGCGCCTCGCAGATTCTGAAAATGAGGCAATCAGGATTTTTATACAAGGATGGAACAACGCTTGTCTGGCACATAACCGCTAAAGGTGACCTCTTCAGTTTCCATTAAAAGGAAACAATAAAAATTTAACTCCACATGGGAGTGAGCGGCTTGCTCTGCACTTAGTTTGTGCAACTATCGTTTATTTTTAAGGAACAAGTTCACAGACAAATTGTAGATGCAATCAATGGATGTGGATGGGATGCAGGAGAATACAAAGGTAGAAGCCTCTCCTTCGAAGTCATGCAACCAACAGTTACTGTCAGACAAGATGAATCTCAAACGTCGAACATTCACTCTCAATTCCGGTGTCAACTTTCACCTCTTTTTTGCACTTTCCTTTGCCAGTCTATGGAAGTGCAATTTTTATGCTTGTATGACAGCAAAGAACCGGTTAAACAATTGATGTCATTGAAAAGCTCCACAGCTGAGAGTGCACCAAATAAGCAAGATCTTCACAAAAAACTCTACACAGCTTTTTATGTCTAACCTTAAAATCGTCCTATAGATTTCAGTACACTACAGTTATTCTGTCAGTTATTTGCTTCATATATCCGACTGAAGTGCGGAAGACACTGTGGGAACAAGGAGCACGAGAAAGCGACGCGCAGTAATAACTTCGCACTGTAGGACAGTGACTGACGATTGGGACGGTGGAGTCCAATTAAGCTGTATTTCTACTTATTGCAAGCCAATAGAGGTCACAGGTCCACCAACTTAAGTTAGAAGCAAGTAGCGCTAACCTGAACTCAACCTATAATTTGTGTTCTGTGTTTTGTGCCAATTCATTAGATGTGTTAATTCAAGTTCAAAATCCAAATGGTTTTATGTGTTCATGAACGTAGACCAAACAGTGATACAAGGAATGTGAGGATTTTTCTGGGTTATCTTCTGGTTTGCGATGAAGCCTTTAATTAAAGTAAAATCGAGGGAGATGGAGGACTCATCCTCACGTTGAAAGAATGGCTTGAGATTAACGGGTTAGAAACCAATGCTGCGGTGCAACCAATTATAAGATGATATGGGTGAAAAGCATCTTGCATTCATTTCCTCTTGATTTTCGGCATAAAAAGATCGGTTATACAAACCAAAATTAATGCCAAATTTGGTTAATTTCAGGATCATGAGCCAGGTCAAAGGGATTTATTTGGAGACTACATTGCAAGAACATTTGGGCTTTTGCGAGAAGTTATCGCCAAAGTAATGTAGAGGGAGGAGAATTCCTTAAGTGGAAGTGAAATCGGAGTTTTGTCTCTTGAATGAAGGAGCTACATAGAGAGCGCTTAAAATTAAGTGTGATGAACATGACTGATACTCTATTCATTGCTCTGCTCTTTATTCTCTTGTTTTAATATTCCATATGCTGTACATATTCGCCAGCTCTAATACATACGTGCTAGTTGTTACGCTGCGCTGTATTCTGGACTTCTAATTCGTCTTGTTATTCCGATATACGTACGAAACTTAATTCTCATATTAAGTGCAAAGGTTAAATGCAGTTAGATGCTGGACAAGCGGTCAGAGGAATTTTCGCCAGATCTGCTGGCTGTGGGAGAGGCAAATGAGCTTCTGACAATTTCGGATCCAAGACCTTCACTGAACAAAGAAAAAGGAATAGATTCAGAAATGCGGATTTCATAAGAGGAATGTGATTCAAATCATAGCGAATTTTGGTCGACTTACAGAAATTACCATGCCTGGTAGTGGGAAGCGAGTATGGGGCGTAAAAATGAGGGACGCTTAAACACTGGTTTTCATGTTGGTTTGGTCAACAAATGGCTCAATCTGGTTGTCAGTCCGTAGGACTCACTGAGGGAATCGATGTCAACCATATGACATCTTTCGACGACCCCTCCCGTTGTTTCTGTTCCGAAAAACCTGTTGTATTCCACCAAAAACCAGTCTGGAGATTCCGAATAATACGAGTTTTACCAAAAAATACTTTCAAAGTAGTCTTTCACTCTGTACACCAGCTGAACACAAAATTTCTTGCCTGTGTCCATCGTTTTGAAGGATCGCTGTCAAGATCATGTTGTGCACAAACAAACGTCAGGCATCCACTTGGAACCGGAGTTTATGGAACCTGACTCTATACCAAATCGAACCCTTAAGGATGCTTTAACACCCTGTTCTTTCATGCATACCTTAAGAGACAGTAAACGTCTCTCCAAAAAGTCCCCATTTTCCCTCCTTGATAACACTAAGACTTCATCTTTGTCTTCTTTTGCAGTGATCTTCGCACTGTAGGTGTGTTCAATCAGCAGACAACCAGCTAAGAAATACTTTGGCTAATTGAGGTAAGAATGTCACATTCATTTAGATCACGTAGCTGGATAGCTCGTGCACTTTAAGTGTTTCATCAGTTTCAAAACGGTAGTCTGATCAAGTATAAGTTTATATGAAGAGCAGAGCCAGGATTTCTATAGACACCGTATGTCTGTTCTGAAAGGTTGTTGGTCAGTGAGCTAAAGGATTCTTTGAACCAACCAAACATCGGGACAAGTAACCAATATTAGCAGACGCTCAGGAACTACCCCCTTATCATCGTACAATTTTCCAAAATCTGTCAGTGTTGTTACTTTCTTCCAATGAAGTTTGTTTCACAGCGTCAGCTGTCTGTTTACAAACTTACTCCAGACGATTGACCTCTGCACTCTTTCTTACTGATTGACGGATTCGTAAACTCGTTCCCATACACTCGTTCTCTATGATGTATGATGCATTTACCCACCCATTCCAAGAAAGCGCTGTATTTGGGTTGACTCAGTTTAAGTTCGAAACGAAATTTTGGCTCATTAGAACAAGACTCAGCCTATTCTCACAGAAAATTTACGTCCTTCTTCCCCCGTATTATGGTACACACCTTTGACTGAAAACAGTAAATAACAGAGGATATGCTTGCATCCCTGCAATTTCAGTTTCCTGTTACACAGGCCGCTGCATCTAACTGCTTTAAAAGCAATGGATAAATCACTATGTAAACCTCTGTCCCCCTCTGAGACTGTGAACCTAGGACGAAATTGTCATCTAAGCCACCAAAACAACGATTTCAGTTGCTTAGGTGCAAAAAGTATAGAGTGCTGTTCAGAAGTGTTGAAAATGGACAACGTCAGGCGAATAATAGCAGTCAAGAAAAACCGTAGTGTTGCGATCAAGTCCCACTGAATTTATCCTATGCTTGTGCATTTGAGGTTTCATTCGACCTTGAATTCAGCTGACCTGCAGACCTTTGAATGACGTTAAATCGATTGGCAGAGTCAGCTAGCCACCAGCGGAAAAAAATACACATACGGTTTTGTGTACAGCTGACATGTATTCAAGACCTTAGTGGTGCGTGTTTCCCTAATGCCACGGTCAAGGAGAAAATCACTGGTCTGTTACGCACGCCTGGCAGAGAAGTGTGGGAGATTTGAAGGTATTAATTCTGTTTTCCTCTTCTACTTCATTAGATATGGTAGACTACATGGAATGGTTGATCAAATCCCATCCCACAATTGTTGTTGAGGAACAGAATCTACTGGCCAGTGCATACAAACACGTACTTGATCCTCTGAGAAGTTCATTTAAATTATTGAAAGTGGAATTGCAGAAGGCAGAAGAGCAGAAGTCACCATACAGCGAATTAAACAAGATGTTCCTCCAACAAGTGGGAGACGAAATACGCACTATTGCCACGCGTGCACTTCGAAATGTGGACATGGATATGTCAAAGGAACATAAATGTGAGGAGAGTTGGATAATTTCGTTAAAATTGTGAGTGTCTGTTGGCCTCGTCGTGACAAGATGTTATTCTAGAACAGGTGACTATTTTCGATATTTGTCGGAAATTGGAAAGGATGACGACCGAGTTCGAGATTATGAGCATAGTCAGGTAGCCTACAAACAGGCTCAGTCGCTTGCTTCTAAACACTTACCACAATCACACCCGTTACAACTGGGAATCATGCTTAATTCTGCCACGCTTTATCATACGATACTGGATAAAAAGGAAGTCGCGCTTGATATGATATCAACCGCTTTGGAGTTCGCAAAAACAGATCTGGACCAGGTCTCTAGAGTTAACGCCAAACAAACAACCCGGCTTGTAAAAGTACTGACGGCGTACAAGATAAGACTAGAAGATGAGATGAGGGGAGAAGGTAAGAAATATTTTTGAAGCACCAAATAATGGTGAAAGATGTGAAAAATCTACTTTGGTATTATGATGCCCCTTGCGTTGTCTTACTCTTTGGTGCAGTCCCACATTCAAGAGGCGCCCCCATTTCTACCTGACAATACACACTACTCATTAGGTTGCTGAATAGTCTTCGGCGGCTGATGGTTTAGGTGTTTCCGGCGTGTTAGCAAAAAATTAACTCTTTTTCTCTATTTTATCAAACACAGTTGATATGGTCTAACAACCCCTAAGGCTCAAATAGCCCTACATGACGCAGATGTAGTAACGGTATTTTCCTCAGCTTGGTTCTCGGTCTGAGCCTCCCAAGCTAGCGTTCACGTCAAAACAACCACCAAAGGTGCACAAGGTCTATTAACGCCCAAAACGAAGTCAGGAACAGTTATAAAGCACTTCATATATATAGCGTAAGCGGTTATAACCTTCTGGAATTTCTGACGCGTTCTGGATGCGGCAATGGCAACCGGCATTTGGCCAATACTGGGTTATGATTGGCTGTTGGATCCTGAATGTTAACCAATCAGATCTCGTCTTGATACCGGACCATAAGCGTCCCGAATTCTGGGCCAACCTCGAGCGGTCCAGGCTTCTCGGCCGTAGCAGCGCCTAAAGACGTGCGGTATAGTGGGATCCGCGTAGATTCCTGTCTAACAGCAGTGCAAATACCCTAATCTTTCACTCCCACGTAAATAAAAAAAGTGAGGCGAAAAATTGGGGAAGACTTTTTGCACCCTGGTGGAAATTAATTTTGGATATAAAAGAATCTGGACAATGCAGATTTTATCTTATTTGTTTCAAATCACCTAAGAAAGCGCAGAGCTTGCAGTGAAACTGAGGATCATCGAAATTTGCTTTGCAAATTGCAACTACTGTAATCTAATGTTAAGTAGTAATTCTTTTCCTAACCATTCGCTTCAAGTAATTTTCCTGGCGGCATTTGAGACTGCCTCAGGATCGTCTAACTCACGGCCTGTTGTTTCCCTCGATTTCTGAGAACTATATAGACCTTTAGAACATGGTCTTGTTGGAACTGGTATATCTCATTTTTCTTCAGTGGCTTCTCCCATTCTTTTATCCCCTAGTTTGAGAATAATAGGGCATGAACGCAAATGACGGTGCCAGTCCTGCTCTCTCGAAAACTTCAACTTTCAGGTCTCAACACACACACACACACACACTAGATGTTGATGATCTTGAATGTAAGGGTGCGTGTTCCCACCTGAGTGGATACTTGACATCAAGGCCAAGCAGACTGAAGTGAATTACAGCCCAACTTCTCTTTTATAGTATTCCTCAGGCATGTATGCTGTACCAAGGCCGCTCCATGTTTCAGGTAGCACAATATTCGTGATGCCATAGTACATTACGTGGTACATTCTTAATTAGAGTTCTAAAAGAATAGGAGTTAGAGTAAAACTCGGGGAGTGTGCTCACCTGATGAGTCCCAGGAAGGCCGGAACCGGTCGTGGGTTGTCGATATCTCGAATATCTCAATCATAAGACGGCCTTTGTGTAGCATATTCGGTTGAAGAATATTAAAACCAGAAGCTTCGGTTAGATTTCAGTTGGGTCACTCAGTAAGACAAAACCGGTAAGCAAATGCGCGTATTTTTCACATTTTGTGAAATTAGGATTCGGGGAGAAGAAAGGGCCCAGAGTAACTCAGAAGCTATGCCCACCTTATGAGCCCTAAGATGGGCGAGACCGATCGTGGGCTGTCGAAGAGTTTTCGGCAAACTTATGAATAGTGTGTGCCACCCAGGAAGTGTACTACGATATATCGAGTATCGTGCCAAGTGGAACATGAGGTGAATTTTCATTAAGACATTTAATGAAATAATATCATACACGAGAGATCCACATGGGATTCACTTAAATCCCACATTAAAAACAAACTAAGTTCGCTTTATCTGTCTTTAACTACTTGGATACACTTTCGCTGACTAAGATAAAATATCTTCGTTCTGGTGTGGCATTCTGACCAGTAGCCTTCCCACCGAATCAGTATGCCTTTTGTAAACTTGGTATTATCTTACCTAGAAAAATTTTCGACTATATTTCTCTTGCGTAGTAATGCTCTTTATCAGTTTCTTCATACTCATTTTGAGGCTTCTTTGGAGGGCATTAATCCGCAGGCGTATGCCACTCCATCTTTCCCATTGGCAGTTTCCAATTCCCTTTGGCTGGCTGGCCTACAGATATTAGTAATACAAGACTTTTAACAGATATTTGTTACCGAATGCACGCAATCCGGTAGTACATTTTGTTTGCGTGTATTTGCAGAATTCACTCAAAAATGCCAATTACATCTATCAGCGTCTTTTGGGCACAGTTTCGTATTACGTACGTACAATTATGGTAAAAACATTGGTTGAGTTACGGGGTTGGATTAAAGATTACTGATAGACAACTAAGTGAACACTATCTCGTTACAATATCAGGTAGCTGGGTACCCTCGGCCGCCCTTTTACAGTCATGGCAATATTCCATCCAACGTATGAAGGAACTTTACCCTGGAAATTGGAGTATTTCGTTAAAACATCCAAGTCAAGAGCTTCGGGTTATTAAAGGAATACTGTCATTCCCACGTGAGTGGAACGTGAGCAGAATGTAATGCCGCCCGCTACAGTCCAAGTCACGTGGCTCGGTGCTCACTAGCTAGTCCTAGACAAAAGGCAATTGTGGTTTTCGGAAATTTGGCATTCTGAATAGTTTGTACGTAAGGTAATTCCAAGAAAAAAATGTTAATACTTCTGTTTGACTTTAAGCTATGCTTAAATAACCCAAAATCCTCCGTTGATGGGTGTGTTTCATCTGCAGTGCTGCGTTTTTTAGTTTCATTTTTCGTCTGTCAGACATAACTGAGCAATAAATAGACTCGTTTTCTGGAAAATACTTCACGTATTTATTTAGAATTGAAAGAAATCCGTCGTTCTTCGTCTGTTGTGAATAAGAAGCCTTAGCAAATGTGGACGAAAAACAGCAACCTCTAATGGAAAATGGCGAGGATTCCTGATGAAGCCTCTGGAAGACATCTGATGGAATTACATATGACAATGGTATTCAACCCTTCTTTCCTCATTGATTTTATGCTTTGACCCTTTACTTGACATTGTGTCTCCACTTATTTTGCTCTGGGTAAATAAACTTATTTCTGTATTGAATATGTTATCCGAACAAAACAATATTACATAACATCCTAATGCCAATGAAAATAGGAGGTTGGCGTACCGAATACACGAATGCGGTCAGAAGTAGTTAGGTATTTTTGCCCAGATGATTCAGTAACGCATGCTTCTGTGGTAGGAAGAGATGGGAGAACATAGGTGGACACAGAGCTGTGCGGTCAAATGATAATCCCCGGTTACCCAGGAGGAGGAATGTGGTTCGGTTTAGGTACCCCGCCTTGAACCCTTGACTAAAAATTCTGACCCACAAGGCAGTAGGATGAGGTAGGGTTTTCTTTGCAGACCCTTCCCCGATGACTCAAGGTGTTGGTCTAACCCAAGGACGCGGGGAATGAGGCATTACTGTCTCACTATTGGTGCGGCTGTGCACAGCAGATGCTTACTGAAAAGCAGCTGGCTATTTGGTTTTGAAAGTATTTTGACTGTATAAAGAATGACCCGGCTATCACTGTTGACCTCTGGGAGATCGGTGTGTGCAGCTGGCCTTTTCTAACCCTTCTTTCCTCGGGGGAGAGCAGCATCACTGCTTCCATTAATATGGACATGCTGGTCATGGGGGTGAAGCGCCTTACTACCTTCACACTTCTACTTTAACCCCAGACCATCTCGTAGCACGACTACCCATAGTACGGGGTTTCTCTGCTCCTGATCTGGCTCCTCGCGTTTGGCGACATAGTTGCAACTTTTAAACGCCAAATCATTGCAGCGGTCAAATTAAACCACTAGGTCAATATGAAAGCTTTACATACATACATATGTGTGGAATCGAGATTGAACGCTTCTTGGATCGGACTGTGTGCAGACGAACCAGCTTTAAATCGGCAAGTTTCTTGAGCATAGATCGTATGAACGTTATTTACGAACTTCTACAAACATTCTCAGAAGTATAAGACAGCTGGAGCAGACATTTCAGAGAAAACAGCCAGTACGTTTTCGGTAGAAACTTATAAAGAAGAGGCCAAAGGGAAACAAGAGATCCTGCTGCTAATTGAACTCAAACGGTTTACGCGTAAGTGCTGGACCAACTAGGGCGTCTAGGCCCAAACAGGGAGAGCTTGAGGTTGAGAAATAAACGTAGAAATTAAATGTACCTAAGGGCAAAAATTAGTCTATTTTCTCAGCTATGGACGTTACTCAGCAAAGCTCCATCATACGGTTATTTGTACAGGTTGAGAAGCGATAGACACCGATTGAATGAGCTGAACTGCGCGAACGATAAAATTATTGACAGACCAAAGAGAGTGAAAAATTAAGCTGGATGAAAGCAATGTGTCCCGAAGATCCAAGGTGATCCTAGGTGAAGATAAAACTGTGAGTGGATGGGTCCCTTTGGCGGGATCTGGCTTCTAGTAAGTTCTTTTCGATTTTTGGAGGAATATTTGATAATGATTAAGAAACTCAGCAAACAAGCGTCTTTCTGATGAAAATAAGGCTACAAGATTGATTTTCAAAAGCTTCCGCAAAAAGTAAATACGGGTAAATAGGAGGTAAATAGAGTGATGAAATACATAATGCTGAAGGGAAAGGGTTGGTCGTCATTCAACTGAATTACTGATAAGGCTAGTTATGAGGAAAATCCAAAATATCTGTGAATTAATAGATGTTTAAAAGTGGTGCACAGAATTCTGACAGATGATCTTGGTAAGTTAATGAAGAGTGAAACCATGAGATTACTCAGTTTTGGAGACTTGTTTATATCGGAATTATATCAGGAAGGAGGTCCCGTGCAGCAAACGATTGATAAGATTTTAGGTGTTTGTGAAAGAAAAGAACTCCA